ACTGTATGATAATGTGATAATATTTTCAAATAGGTTGCAGTCTCTCTCAAGTTGATCTTTTGCCATGAACTATGTAATTACTGGATGTGAAATTTCTCTGGATCCTTTCATTAAGAAGTTATCTTAGGCGACCATAAGCAACAAAGGCGACCTTCTGGCTCAGGCACTGATGTCAAGTATTTACAAATGTTTCTTTCAATATATGTTCTGATACTGTAGTGATGGAACAGTCAGGTGTAGAGCCACAGTGCTGGTGCTTGAGGTGGAATTTTCAAATGTTGCAAGAATATTTACATGGAGAAAGTTACTCTTTCAGAGATAGGTTGTGCATGTGCTTAAGTCGATTTTCTGGGTTCCACATTCAGATTATACAAATCACTTGCATGTAGTTCATGCTTTTGAGCTTGGCAGATTTTTTGTTAAGAAGCACTGTTTGAGGCAGCATTTTTTTTAGTAGTGCCTAGTGCCTAAACACAAGCACTAGTTTCAAGTTTATTTGTCAAATATACAAGTGTCAGTGACAATGTACATTGAAATGCTTTTTGTGAGGCTTAGGCAGTCTACAGCAGTACAATAGTAACAACAGAAATAAATAAGAAAGGGGCAATCAAGACAGAAATTTAAGAGATATAAATGTAGAATAATGATTACTAACAGATTCACAATATAATATGATAACAATAAAAAGTAAAGGTACGTAGGTGCAAGGATGAGGTGGAGCCTTTAAGCCGGAAAAAATGGAGGGATAGAAAACGTGGACTGTGAAAACAGATAGTGTTTTTTTTTTTTATTATTTGTGTTCAAGTGTAATACAATGTGATACAAAATCAAGAGACAATTTAAAAGTGAAAAATAAAAGAAAATATTGTGCAATATTTTGACTTAGTCACCTGCTGTATATACTTTATACTGTATACTTGCTGTATATACATACTTTTATACTATATGGTATACTCACTTTATAGTCTATTTATTGTCTAATGTTCTATTTTTTTTATAACACCAGTCAGAAGCAGTGCTCCTAATTTCGTTGTATACAGAGATATACAATGACAATAAAGGCTTTCATTCATTCATTCATTCATTCATTCAAAACCAGTAGGATCATGTACAGTACAGATTCAAGTAAACATTTAATCTAGTATATTCCCTATATATTGCCTAACTGTAATTATCACATTAATCATTGCATTGTGGTTAATAGCACATTCTATTATAATTTTAAAAAAATAATAATTTATAGTGTGCCGACAGTACACAATGAAATACAACCATGAGATACTAAGTCAAGGTCATGAAATCAAAATTTGTACATGGGTTGTAGGATATTTTATCATGCTTTTAATTAGCTATTTTGAGTTGTTGAATTAATAAAATATTACCAATGTTTGTATGAATTCTGTGTGCTAAAATTACCCCTAGCTGTAAATGGGTGTGTATGGTGTCCTCCAGTGGACTGGTTTTTAATCTGGTGTATTGCAACCCCACACCCATGGTTCTCAGAATAGGCTCCGGATCCACAGTGACCCTGACCAGGATAAAGTGGTTACTGAAGATGAATGAATGAATGAATGAATGTGGCCCTGTGTCTTCCATTTAGCTGTCTAGTTTAGACTTAACCCTTATGTGTTCTGATGACAGTTTGACAGTACCACAGGTTGGATGTTGCTTAGGCTACAGGTAGGATGTCCAAAGCTAATTACTAGAAGTAGTACTGGGTAGGCACAGCAAGGGCATGAGGTCCATCATAATCTACTTTTGAATTGCTTCAGAAATGTGCTTGAGATCATGAGAATGTGCAGGGGATGAGGGAAAAGCCTTTGTTTGAAAGCTGGAGATTAGGCACTCCTTTCAGCACTGTGACCTCCTTATTCTGCTTCTGCAAATTAGAATGGAGGAACTGAGGAGTGAACAGAGGTGGGAAATCCTTATACTCCCATTCAAATATTATATAATAATATAATAATTTACTCTTCAGGTATATCTTCCTCTACTTGTCTCCTTTCTCAATTCTTCACTCTGTGTAAAGATGGGGTGGGAGTATGGGCTTCTTACTTCCATGTGGTAAGTAGACATGGAAATCCAATCAGCACAGAACACTTCATCCTGGAACAGTGGTATCCGGTTTGACATATACTTATGTGGCAAGAATGACAGACCATGCGCCAAGTCTGGGAAGCAGAGCAAGGGTTGGCGGTGGTGGTGGTTTTGTGTGTGTGTGTGTGTGTGTGTTGGTGGGAGCAGCTTTAACAGGAGATGACAAAGTTGTCATTTTACTAAAAGGCATACTGTGGTTGCCATTCATCCCTTTTTCCTGTTGCTATACTAGAGTTTAACTGTGTTGATGCACATATCCAACTTTCCCCTTAGAAATCAGACAGACAGACTGACAGATCTATCTATCTGTCTATCTGTCTCTGTCTGTCTGTCTTCTCTATCTGTCTGTCATGATGATCTTTGTTGTGGGAACTACTTTGACCAAACGGTGAATTAAAGTCCCACCAGAAATAATGAATCATTATTGCACATCAGACTCTCACTATGTGGCCCCTCTCTGAAGTGGTCCTATAAAGTGTGCCACAAGAATGTATTTTACATGGTGGTTAATAAGAGGGTTTCTGATATATAAAATACTCTACAAATGCCATTAAAATGTCTAACATATATCATCAGCATTCATACTGCATGAGTGAATGTTGTATCCAAAGTGTATACCATGTTCTTCTGTCTGAAAATTTGAGTTCTTAAGATCCTGTGTTCCCATGTGTCTCTTTGGGCAGTGGAGTATGACCAGGAGTTGTCTCCTGATAGAAGACACCATAAGGAGTTCAAGTTCAATCTGTCTCAGATCCCAGAGGGAGAGACAGTTGCAGCAGCAGAGTTCAAGATCTACAAGGAATGTGTGGGCACTGCTTTTCACAATGAAACCATCCGACTGAGTGTTTTTGAGGTGGTGGGCGAACATCTAGACAGGTGAGGATAGCTAGTTAATTGGTTACAAATTTTAAAATACCACGAATGCCACTTCGTGCACTGTCAAATACAGTGTATGCAATAGTGACAAAATGCAAATTCTTCCAGTATGTTTTCTCTTGTTCATCAAAAATCTATGCACAGTATCTTTATTATTTATTTATTATGGTGGTCCAGTTAAAAGGACTTGTGATTTCTTTTCATTGGAGAGGCCATGACTTAGTGGTATGCATATAAGCAAATATCTTAACAAGCAATTAACCAAATTCTGTTATAATACAGTAGTGTAAATATATTAGCCTTACATATTAGGGCCTTTGGTAATTTTACAAGTTCTCAGACTCTTGTTTGTGACCAGATGCACTTGGAATTTAGAACAGTATAGAGACACATACAAGAGGCACCAGTTTCAGTTTTCTACCATGTAGTTTGTATAGTCTAAACCATGACCGCAGTCCCTGACTGAAAATAGGTTGATGCCTAAAAAAGAACCAAGCTAAACATGCCAGACATTGACACTGTGGGTGAAAGGAGGCATGATTTCCATGAATCACAACAACAGCATGATTGAATGTTGTGTCCACTGTCAAAAAAGCAACCAATTAAGTGACTATGTATGGTCAGTCACCAGGCCACATTTTACAAAAAAAGAAAGCAGTTTTCTACAAAATAGAGACTGTCTCTACTCTAAATAGGCTTCTCTGTTCCTTGTCTCCATGGTTCAGTGGGGATTTTGGTCAGACTAAGTTTTCAGTATTTCATGTTTGCCAGTTTTTACATCAAAATAATTACAAAATCCGATCTCCTAATCTTTTACATGATACAGATAGGTGACAAAGGAAAAACCAACATAAAGTTCCTTACTAAATTACTGCCAGAACATCTTCCCTGTACCATGCCATAGATTCTGTAAATCCCTGGAACTTTACTAGAGGGATGGATCAGCATTCTTCCAAAAGATATTCCCTTAATTGGTGCTTTGATGATAGTGGTAGAGTGCACCAACACAGTTCATTATAAAATGTCCCATAGGTGTTCAGCTGGGTTGAGATCTGGAGAATAGACAGGGCATACCCCTACTACAAGATTCTTGCCCCAATTTACCATTCACCAGCTAATTTTGGCACTCGGCACCTACACCCCTAGCTTGTCATTACATGGTGCATTTTCCCATAGCGTCTGCTCATGTAGTGTGAGCAATTCAGAGACACAATTTTCTCTGTCTACTGAGGCTCTGATATTTCAATCACAAGGTTATTCCTGGCAATGCACAGTATAAAAATGGTGACTTTTTTGCACTGTACCTCTGGTTCACTTTGCAGAAAAGACAATCCTAGCTGCCCATGTCTCCCCAACCAATCCTTTCTCCACATTTTGTCTTATTTCTCTTTTTTCTTGTTTCTATACAAAATAGTGACAGTGGTCAAAAGTCTCATAAATACTGGTGACTGGAAACTCTGATTTTCCTCATACTAGTGTGCGTATGTGCATATGTTGATGAATGCCAATCACATGTAAATTACTAGGCATATGTACAGCACAGCTGATTTGCATTTGGTGGCAAAAGGCAAAGCTCACAGTGCTAAAAAAAAGACTTTTTCAGAGGTAGAAGTGAAAGCTATGTTGACTCAAGTGTAAGCCAATAAAAATATATATTATTTAACAGTGTAACAACCCCTTGAAAAGGCCAAAATCTGGAACCAAATTACAGAAAAGTTGAATTAGATGTGAATTAAGTGAGGTGAAAATAAAATGATTTGACATGAAAGAGAAACTGCTATTTTTATTCAAAGCAAAGTGTCTTGGTGACTCTCTGCCAGGAATTTCAGGCATACCAATGTGAAGCAGGAGGGTGTCATAAGAAGTCACACAGCACACTAGGGAGTATATGGCACATTGGAGCTAGAGACATACCAGATTGGTCATTTATAGGTCACTTAGTGCTGGCTCTAATAAAGCATTGCACAGCATTAAAAGAAAATGCTGTGGCAAAAAAAAATTTTTTTTTGCTGTTCTTGTCTTCAGGGTCCCTGGTGGACTAGTGGGTAGGCCACAGCACTCTCACTGTTATGGCCTGGGTTCGATTCCTGGGTAGGGTTCCAACCCCATTTGTGTGCAACAGTGTGCTCTCAGTGCCTGTCCCAAGCCTGGAAAAATTGGGGAGGGTTGCATCAGGAAGGGCATCCAGTGTAAAAACTATGCCAAATCAAATATGTGGGCCAATGATCTGCTGTGGCGACCCCTAACAGGAGCAGCTGAAAGACAAACGAAAAGCTGTTCTTGTCTTCGATATTAGGCAACATTTATCAAGTCAGCACAGCATATTATCCCCGCCACCTCTCTTTAATCAGATACTGATTTTTATTTTATCATGCATTCTAGATTTTCTTGGAAGCTATCTTGGACCAAGAATTATCCAGATGTAATGCATTTTTTCAGGATAGATGGCTAATTTTTCTATTTGCAGATTTTGCAGTTTTTTTTTTTTGCTTCTGAATTTTGGCACATTTTTCACAGGGGATGGGTCTTGGAAGAAGTCATTAGGTCAGGTGACTGACTTGGCCATTTAAGAGCATTCCATTTCCTAGCTCAAGGATTGCTTTCGCTGTATGTTTTGGGTCATTAAACATCTGTACTGTCCTAGCAGGTTTGCAGCATTTGACTCAATCTGAGCAGAATGTATAGCTTTATACACTTTAGAATTCATCCTGCTACTTCTATCAGCAGTCACATCATCAGTAAACACCAGTGACCCAGTTCCATTGGTAGCCATACATGCCCATGCCATAACACTGTCTCCACAGGTTTGACAGATGAGATGATGTGGTATGATTTGGGTTATCATGAGCCCTTCCTTTCCTTCTCCATACTCTTCTCTTCATGCTGGTACAAGTTAACCTTGCATCACAACTGGTCACGCTTTGTTTTTGTTTTTGTTTTTTTTGAGTTTTTTTTTTCCAGCAAAGTCTAATCTGGACTTTCTGTTCTTGAGTGTTACTAGTGGTTTGCATCTTGAGGTAAACCATCTGTATCTACATTCCTGAAGGCGTTTCTTGATTGTAGACTTTGATAATGATACGCCCACCTCCTCGAGAGAGTTTTTGACTTGGCTAGATGCTGTGAAGGGGTTTTTCTTCAACAAAGAAAGAATTCTGCATTCATCCACTTTAGTTGTTGCTGAGCTCACCAGTGCATTTCTTCATTTTAAGAATGTACCAAATTGATTTGGTCACTCCTAAAGTTTCTGCTATCTCTCTGATAGGCCTGTATTGTTTTTTCAGCCTAATGATGGCCTCTTTCACTTGCATTGGCACCTCTTTGGAACCCTCCCCCATTTGTATAGCAAATTGCACTGTTTAAGTGTTCAGTCTGTTGACAAACTTATTCATGCAGCTCTTACAAAGGTTCAGGGGCAGGTGGTATATTACTGCATGTTTGCCAAAACTACTTTTGTGCCTCTTTAGTCAGTGAATCCTTTCAGGCAATATCTGGTATGCTGTAGCAATAAACCTCCAGTCGTAACTTCCTGTTTTCGAATTGTTTTGCCGGGAGTTTCTTGCCTGTGTTGGCATCTTAACTATACTGTTTTTTTTGTTTTTTTAATCAATAATTTTGCGCTATCGTTTTCATCTGTTGTATTTTTCAGTTTCTCTTCTACCGTAATTTTTTTTTCCAAAGAGGCTGAATGCAGGATGTTTAGTCATTCTTCCTCTGTCATTAGTAATAGCTTTATTTGTGATAAATGTATGTTAGTTAGGTCTTTGATGGAGAAGATTGCAGCATTAGAGGTGCGCATCCAGACTCTAGAGAGCGAGAGCAGTGTAGTTTCTGTAGGGGAAAGTCTTGATGCCTTAGGCGGAGTTAGAAATCCTCCAACTCCGGCTTTAGAGCCCTCACAGCGGGGTGAATGGGTGAAGACTCGGCGGCATAATCGCATAGCCAAAGCTAACGCTAAGGCTCGCCTACAGGAGCACCACTCCTCTCTGCTTCACGTGTCTAACAGGTCAGTGAAGCACCCACTGAGAAACCTGAAAGGGCTCTGGTTATAGGAGACTCTATCTTGAGGCACATGAAATTAGCTAGGCCTTTAGGGGCACCAGCAGCTTTAGTTAAGCGTATACTGGGAACCAGGGTGCTGGACATAGCAGGTAATCTTAGGGTCTTAGGCAAGCACAGGTTCTCAAAGATAGTTATTCATGTAGGAGCTAATGATATACACCTTCGTCAGTCTGAGGTTACTAAGAGTAACATTGTAGAAGGTGATGTCCGATGCTGTAGTATGCTCTGGCCCCATCCCAATACAGCGTGGTGATGTAGCTTACAGCAGGTTATGGTCGCTGAACTGCTGGATGTCCAGGTGGTGCTCCGAAAACAATGTGGGCTTTATAGATGATTGGACTAGTTTTGAGGGCAAGGCTGGCCTTTTAGGGTGGGACAGTGTCTATCCCACTTGGGAAGGTGCTGCTCTCATTTCTTGCAGCATAGCACATAGTCTAAGAACAGGCCTAATTAATCTGTGACAATCCAGGGCCAAGGCCAGGGAGCAGTCAAGCAGGCTAAACTGACCGTCTTCTAGCTGCACTGAGTCATCACTTAGGTTCCACCGTATTGAGACTGTGTCTGTTCCCCAAGCTAAACAAAAATGTATAAATACTCAAAGTTTGTTTTAATAACCTAATTACCATAAAATTAAATCAAACCAAATGAGTAACCAGCACCGTTGATCTGAATCTAGGACTGTTGAATATTAGATCGCTTACGTCTAAAGCACTCATTGTTAATGAAACCATTACTGATCAGGACTTTGATGTACTGTGTTTAACAGAAACGTGGATTAAACCAAACAAGTTTGTAGCATTAAATGAAGCTAGTCCTCCCAGGTACAGTTACATACATCAGCCCTGTCTAACTGGCAGGGGAGGAGGCATCGCAGTCATTTATAATGATAATGTAGACATCACACAAAAACCTAGTCATAAATACAACGCATTCGAAGTTCTTTACTCTAACATAACATACGTAGCCACCAAAAATAAGTCTACCCAGGTGATTCCACTAATTATTAATTACAGACCCCCAGGGCCATATTCAGAATTCCTATATGAATATGTGGAGTTCATCTCTAACCTAAAGTGGATGATCACAGAATCCATTCCTTGGTGAAGAAAAACCCCTTCACAACATCAACAAAAGTCAAGAATACTCTGGAGAAGGTAGGTGCATCACTGTCAAAATCTACAATCAAAAGATGCCTTCATGAATGTAAATACAGAGGGTTTCCAACAAGGTGCAAAACACTGGTAACATTCAAGAACAGGAAAGCCAGATTAAACTTTGCCAGAAAACATCTAAAAAAGCCTCCCATGTTCTGGAATAAGATTCTTTAGACTGATGAAACCAAGATTAACTTGTACCAGAATGATGGGAAGAGAAAAGTATGGTGAATGAAAGGAACAGCTCATGATTCAAAGTATATCACATCATGTGTCAAATATGGTAGAGGCAGTGTTATGGCATGGGCATGTAGGGCTGCCATTGGAACGGGCTCACTGGTGTTAATTGATGATGTGACTGCTGACAGAGGTAGCAAGATGAATTCTGAAGTGCATAGGGCAATACTCTCTGCTCAGATTCAGCCAAATGCTACAAAACTGATAGGACGCCGCTTCACAGTGCAGGTGGATAATGACCCTAAACATCCTGCGAAAGCAACTCAAGACTTTTTGAAGGCAAAGAAATGGAATATTCAATGGCCAAGTCAGTCGCCTGATCTCAACCCAATAGAGCATGCTTTTCACTTACTGAAGACAAGACTGAAGGCCTGGCAAAGCATCACAAGGGAGGAAACTCAAAATTTGAGTTTTGAGAACATGGGCTCCAGACTTCAAGCAGTCATTGACTGCAAAGGACCCACAAACAAGCAGCAACTGAAGGTGGCTGCAGTGAAGGCCTGGCAAAGCATCTCCAGGGAGGAAACTCAAAATTTGAGTTTTGAGAACATGGGCTCCAGACTTCAAGCAGTCATTGACTGCAAAGGATTTTCATCCGAGTATTAAAATTATGGTTATATTTATAATTATGTCACTTTGTCCAAATACTTTTGAGCCCCTGGAAATGGAGGTACTTTGTTGAAAATGGCTGTAATTCCTAAATGGTAAATGCCATATTTTTGTGGAACCTCTTAAAATAAAGCTGAAAGTCTACACTTCAATCACATCTTGGTTGTTTTATTGTGGAGGCAAAATCACAAAAACTCTGTCATTGTCCAAATACTTCCAGACCTAACTGTATCTGTAGCAAACACTATGTCACTGTCACTATCTGACTATATATGTATGAACACATGCATGAGAGTATATCCAGGCATTAGAGAGCAGGCATCAATGGTTTAAACCTGAGGCAGGTAGCTACATGGAGCCAGATGGAAGGAACAAAGCAATGGGGTATTTTAGGAGAACTCAAAGAGGCTGGAAACAAGTTGTCCAGCAGCATTCTGGATCAGTTGCAGGGTTCTGATGGTACACAGGGGAAGATCAACTAGGATCAAGTTGCAGTAGTCCAATCTCAAGATGACAAAGGACTGCACAAGCACCTGAGTGGCCCCTGTGGAGAAGAAATGTTGCAGCCTTCTGGTGTTATACAGTGAGGGAAAAAATTATTTGATTCCCTGCTGATTTTGTACGTTTGCCCACTGACAAAGAAATGATCAGTCTATAATTTTAATGGTAGATTTATTTTAACAGTGAGAGACAGAATAACAACAAAAAATCCAGAAAAATGCATTTCAAAATAGTTATAAATTGATTTGCATTTTAACGAGTGAAATAAGTATTTGATACCCTATCAATCAGCAAGATTTCTGGCTCCCAGGTATCTTTTATACAGGTAACGAGCTGAGATTAGTAGCACTCTCTTAAAAGGAGTGCTCCTAATCTCAGCTTGTTACCTGTATAAAAGACACCTGTCCACAGAAGCAATCAATCAATCAGATTCCAAACTCTCCACCATGGCCAAGACCAAAGAGCTGCCCAAGGATGTTAGGGACAAGATTGTAGACCTACACAAGGCTGGAATGGGCTACAAGACCATCGCCAAGCAG